CAGGCGTTGGACCTGTCTGAGGAAATGCCGCCTCATCACTACCATCATCACACAAACCACCACCACCAGCTGCACCACTCTAACTCCCTGGCCTCCACCACTGCTGTGGGTGGAGGCAGAGAAACACCTTCACGTGTGGTCGTACCTCCTCCGTATTCTGCAGCAGAAAGTGGTGGTGGGTGCAGTGAAGCTCCTCTGGAGTTAAGAGGGTCCCTGGACTGCTGGGCCTGCTCTGTACTGGTAACTGCTCAGAATCTGCTGATTGCTGCGATCAACGCCTGCCTCGCTGGACTGGTGTTTGGCACCATCCTGACGCCAGCCATCGTCATGGTGGTGTTTGGCTTCCTTTGCCACTCTACAGTAAGAAAGGAGAAGACAGGGGAGAGGGTGGATGAGGGTGTGTGAGGAGTGTATGCATGTTGAAGGTTTTTAATTCATATTTCTGCAAGGCTTTGCCTCAGAATAGTCTAAAACTGGCCAGTGGATCTTTCCATCAGAAAACATAGAAAAGCATTCATTTAACTAGCAGCGAAGGTAATATAATCATCCAGCAGACTTTTAAAATAAGCACAGTGCTCCTTACTGAGAGGGAGAGCTAGTTAGACTAAATGCTAACAAATTTGCTCCATCTAAACAATTGATGAGTGGAACGGACAGAAAGCCACATCCATCTTTTTCTGACAGACATGAAAGTCTTAATCTCACAACTTTGATCCAAATGTTTGAAATAGTTCTGCCTGGGGCTGAGGGTGGGGTTTGGCTCTATCAGTGATGAGGGGTTTCATAATCAGATAAGTCTGAGGTTTTCTCAGATGTTGCGAGATGGATGAACTGCAGGGAGGCAAGGGGTCAGGAGTATAGGGAGCCAGACGTGAAAGCACTACATTTTGAAGACTGCTAGGTAGTTAGCCTGGGATTAAAGAACACTTCAGAACCAAAACATATATGAAATTGCATAGATGTGTGTGATAGGAACAAGAGAAAAATATGCTTGTATACCATAACAAACTACTGATCCTATGAGTAAGCAAGCATTATACTGGACTACCCCAAAAAATCATGATGGTTCAGAGAGTTTTAATGCATACCAATGGCATTTCTGTTGGCTGAGGACCTCATTAATGACCAGAGAGATCAGGATTCTCTCTGTTCTCCTGCTCTCACAGTTAGACCTCATGTGACAGCAGCTTAGAGGGGGATTAACCAGGACCTGGGAGCAACGAGAAAGTGGGAGAAATCAAAAGGAGAAAAATAGGGGGAGAAGAAGAAGTCGAAAAGAAACAAGGGTTAAGTATTTCAGGATCTTTAACTTGAGCAGGCTACACTTTCAAAATATTTAAAGAACTTCAGCAAATAAACACACACAATACTCCATGAGCAAAAACACTCTTATGGGCTCTCACTGTAAAAACCTGGCTCAGATCTAGAGCCATACACTAGGCCTCACCAAGAACAAACAAGCATGGCCATACTTGTGCGAATCTGATCTATTACAACTCCTACCCCCAAAGCTTCCCTGCACTCTTCTTTTACCCTTTAATTTTTCTAAGCCATACATTTTAAACCATCTCTGACTTGCTTTCTCTTTGCCTCACTCCCAACCTCCTTAATGTTTTACTTTCACCATCTGGCAGATATTTCTTTCTGGCCAGCTCTAAATCTGCATCCATTAGGACAGCATGCAAAAAAAGTGCCAAGATCTGGAAATAACCATTCAGATTTTTCACAACTGAGATTCCTGTAAACTATTAATTATTAATAAACTACCTTAACTTTCTAAATATTTATGAATCAAACCATTACTTTGACCTACCTTATTGAATATTGATATAAGAGATCTAGGATTTTCTGAGATAAATGAGCTATTGTCAGCTTAGCTATTGTCTTGTCAACATGCACTCTACTATAATAAATACTCTTCTCCCTCCAGAGCTCGCTTACTCCCTGCACTTTCCTCATGCATTCAAATGTTCACTTCATCCTTCATGTGCCGATAAGATGAGCCAGGCCTGCTGTCTCCCATTCCTCCCTCACACTCAAATCCTGACCCCTTCACCTCTTCTTCTCCCACTCCCCAACTGCTGCTGCTCAGCAACAAGTACTCTGACAGAGCTTTGACTGATACTGATCAGAAGATTTGAATTTACTTGACAGAGTGATGGAAATTAGGCTGTTTTTAAACAAGTTGCTAAAGTTTTCTTTATTGCGCTATGGATTTTGAGCATTCATATGTGAGACACTCACGACAACATACAACCGTCTGGTGTGTGTCCACACTTCATACACACATACAACACACAGTGCACATCATGTCCTGTCTTTATCCGTTATTACCAGCACTTCACACAAGTATTTCAATATTTGATGCTCTCTATATGAAAACGTAACTCAAAAATTCTGCATTTACAAAATCTGGAATTCATCAAATATTGTGAACCTTGTCTGACATGATACAATTGATTAATGTGTTACTGAAAACAAAATATTTCTCCTGTAGAAGTACACAAACACCATCTTTCTCCTGCATTACTGCTTAATATTTGTTGTATTACAATGTCTTTAATGTTATAATTTAAAGAGATCTCTCTCAAAGTTGTAGTCTCACTGTTGCATCATCCTATTGTGTATGTTGCTGTAGTTTTATTAAAACACTGAGTCCCTGCCACCTGTGGGCTAAGTGTTACTCTGTAGCTGCTGCTGATCTTCAACCTCACACTGAAAGCAAAATAAGTTTAAAAACATAACATATATGGCTCAGTGGAGCAGTGAGTCACAAAGCGTTTTGTATGATGTCACTGCCTTGTCAATAAACATGAAACCCTCAGTTTGACTCCATCCATCTTTTTGTCTAGGACTTAAAGCCTGTTTTGCTCAGGATCCATTTATAATTGGCTCCAAAGTGTTTCTTAGTTGCTATAC